CCTGCTTCGACGTCTCTCCCGCATCTACTCTCTCTTTGTTCTCTTTTCATTTCCTCTTGGCAAAGACAAGGCACATACCAACAAAAGCGCCCGACTTTTCATTTCCTACTCTCTCTAGAAGCGTCCGTCTTCTCAGTTCCTGCAGGTAGCAGCCGAAACAGTGAAAATTTGCAACACATTCTAGAAATACTGCTCAGTTTAGGCCAAGAAGATTGCCATTTTTTTCCTAGGTACCAAGGACCCAAACACAAGACTGTTTTCCCACGTCACGGCGAGTCCTCCCCAGCAACATATGTCTGGTAGCAGCCAGCAGCCACGATCATCACAATTTACGTCATGCGGGCTGATGCCGACCCTCGTGGACGGCGTGATGACAAGGATTGCCAAGGTGCAAGTCACACCATTTACGGATGCTACTAGAATGATGCACGGGGTCGACCTGCCACTTGACAGGACGAGGGCGCAGGTGGTAGAGTTAAAGAAATATAAGATCGTTTATATCACTACTTTAGTGATCTAAATGCTCTTATATTTCTTTACGGAGGGAGTATGTACTGGGTTAGCTTGTCTACAAGGAGAACCTTTTTCAATGAATCTTCCATCAAGTGGCTGGATGGAACCACCCATCTGCGACTATGATCAAGTGAACCACGAGGCTTCCACCAAAGCTTACCGGGCAGATCTTTCTACCATGTCAAAAAAACTGGACAGATCTTTCCTAATTTCAGTGACATCTGGCATTTCTGATACCATACAATTTTTTAAAATCCAGCGCGCAAAAAATATTTGGTTCATTGAATAACACAAGTAAAAATTCAACTGATAGCAACACAAAAGACCTAGAAAAGCTGCCTACCGAAGTGTGACCACAGACAGAAATACTGTTTGACGAAATTTTGTAAATTGTGTGTTATCTATGTCAAGAAAATACTATTCAGGCGAAACTATTATTCGCCACTTCTTCCTCATGCTTGAATAATACTAGTACACTCTACACCCATGTGTACATGTAAAGCTTTCTTTTTCTCTAGAAAATTAGCTAGGATCATTGTTTGAGCCGGCAAGCAGGCATGCATGAATTTGGGCTCAAATTAACCTGCAGAAGATCAGAAAGCAAGCAACTCAAAGTTCAGCTGGGAAGCTTTTCCTCTGTCGCATTTCCAAGTTGAGGACTATATAATCAAACAAATCATGCATCAGCAATATCATATCCAAAATAATCGGCTGCCTCCTCTTCAATATATTGTCTGCATGGATGGCAGCACATAAACAAGCAAGTAAGAAACACAGAGAAGAAAAATCAACAGTCTGGTGTAGAACAGGGCAAAGTATAGTGATGTAGTCCAACTGTGACGAGATGAAATTCGACCTGCAAATGCAAGCCTGAACTGAAGTCTCGGCAGTTTAATTTTGGAGAGGAGAAGAGTGGGAGAAGAGAGACACGAACGGGCCGTCAACGACAGGGAGTGCCGTGCTGGGCATTCTGTGGGCCCGCCTAAGGCTACGGAGGTCACCGGCCCACCGCTCAGGATAAAGCCTAGCGGATTATATTATCCTAAAACAAACATGTTTTTCTCTAAAAAAAATCATGCTCTCATCTTTCAAAACACAAATTTAAATGTTTAAAATTTTTTTGATTCTTTTAAATGCCAACAAGCATGTATCTATAATCCCAAATCTCCTTGTGTATGTTGAGTTTGGATTTGTAAATTTGAAGGATTATAGACACACTTGTTGTGAACATTTAAAAAACACAGAAATTGTTGAAGCATTTTGAGGGATTGTAGAGATTAACACGTGTTGTGCGGTTCTAGAAACCTGGAGCCATGTTCCTGTGGCTGGTTGGCTCGTTGGCGCTGGCACGGTCAAGACCGGGAGGAGTTGCACTCGTGATTCATCCATGCATGTATGCCACAACGAAGGTAGCTACTTTTAGTCGTAAGTTTCGCAATAGGGAAGTACCGGCGGAACACATCATTTCATTTTTAATTGGTTTGATAAATGTAATACTTCTAGTCATACTGGAGGAGGGGGGAGGGTCCGCCCCCTACGGCCCTACCCCTTGTGGCCTTGTGTTGAAGTGGGCTCCTGGGATACACAAAGTGTTAGGCTAAGACTTGAACCTTATTGATGCCTCCCTCACTCTTTTCTGTTTGTGGGGATGGTGCAACCATCTACTTCTCTCTCGCAAGCAAGCCATCACAAAACAAGGCCAGACCAACAAGAGAAGGTGGTGGAGCAAATTAAGAGCGAAAGTCATAGAGGTTCCCCATACGCGAGGCCGTTGCCTATTAGATCGGCGTCACCGACTACCCGTAGCAAATCCCGGGGTACCTCCCGATGCTTGTCGTAAACTGGGTGTGCATAAGTTGTGCCGTGCTATCCTGGGCCCTGGACAGATGAACATGTGAGTGCTGGGTGACCAACAATGAGGCCAAACAGCTCATGGTCGAAACGGCAGAGGAGGCCCTATCCATCATCGTCATAACTCTACAGAGCACGGGCTGCT